ACGACCGCTCTGCGTTTCGCGACCAAGACCCCCCGATCCCTGTGACTGTTGACATTTTGGGAACGCGAAGGCCCAACGCGAGTCCAAAAAATAACGACAGTTCTGTGCTTCGCGATCAAGACCCCCTGATCCCCATGACTGTTGACACTTGTGAAACGCGAAGACCAGGAGCAAATCTAAAAGTGACGACAGTTCCGCGTTTCGCGACCAGGACCCCCCGATCCCCGTGACTGTTGACATTTTTGAAGCGCGAAAACCAGGAGCAAGTCCAAAAGTCACAACAATTTTGCGTTTTGCGACCAGGACTCCCGTTTCGCGACTGCCAAGTATTCGGGACACCCGCGAGGGCTTGCGAACCCTTTGCAGACGCTAGCGGACGCTTGCGACCACAAGCGCAACGACTTTTGGTCACCTCCTGTCGGGAAATTTACCTGACCACCATGCAATTGTCAAAATGACTGGAGGGCAATTCTGGAATCAGCTGGTGTATGCAAATGACACCATGGTCATAGCCCACTCCGATGCACGTGCGGAGCGGTACATGAGAACTGCATTGCTGAAGCCGGCGCAGTCTTTGGGTTGAGCTTCAATTGGGATGCGATTGCGGCCATGCCAATAGGGGGCCCAGCCTGTATGGCAAGGCCTGATGGTACATTGGTGGAGCAAAAATCCATGCTTTATCTTGGCGGGGCGCTCGATGCCACGGACAACTTGAGTTCCAAGCTCAATCGGCGATTGGGGCTGGCACGGAGTGATGTCAAAAACCTGGAGAGGGTTTGGAAGCATGCTAACATGTCGCATTATCGGAAATTTTTGATTTCGATACCTGCATTGGTTCACAAGTGCTGTATTGTTTGCATACGGCCTGGCTGAACAAGGCGGAGCTCAGGAAATTGGATGACTTTCACGCAAGATGTCTTCGACAAATCCTTGGCATCCACATTCTTTCATCAACAAGGTGTTGAATTGTGACGTTTTCAATCGGGGCATCTGTTTCAGGCCATATTTGAAAACTTGGACTTGCCGGCGGCTGATACTTTTCCACAAGGTGCTTACGCTACCTCCAAATGATGCCAGGCGAGCATGTATGTTTGCGGCTGATTCACTGGTTCTGTTACAGCATAGTGTGGACGACGAAGCCGCCCCAGAAACATATAGGGTCCTCAGGTGTACAACATGGCGATTCGCGTTGCAAGCAATGTTGATAGTTTGGAAAGCATAAGGTTGTTGTTGCAGAAGATTCGCACGCATTCGTGCCCATGTGTCACTGCACACGAGGCTTTTGAGTTGATTTGGCCAGGACCCCAACCGCAAAGCGGGAACCCTTCTGTGGAGCATTCGGGGATACTTTCGTTGTTGGCCATTTTTTGCACAAAGCCTGCTCCTGATGCTCAAGATGTTGATGTCCGCAGCTGATTCGGAGATAATGGTTGACACGTGCGCACTTCCTGCAACAGTGCACGGCCAGTTTGGGAAATATGGCGGGATGGGGACAAATAAACTTGGGATCAGCAAATCTGCCCACATAAGCCCCCTGTACGCCGCATTCCGCGTGAATTGGCTTACCAGCACCCAGCGCAGCATCCTGTTATTCGGGCAAAGCGAAGAAGTCACAAAATCTTCATGGTTTCAACGTATCTGTCTTCGCAGTGGTAGCTCGGCAGTGGCAGAGGTATTGAACCAGTAGTCTAGATCATCCACGACTGAAAGCTTTGCAAGTTAGTTTCCTTGTTGGCTTTAGCATCAGCAAGCCTTCATGAGCAAGTTTTTGTTAAGTGGTTTTTGCTGCGGAAACTTCCAGTGGCTCACCAACAATTTTCCCAACACAAAACATCCACATGAAGAGGCCGACGAAATATTGCCGATACAACGACACGTACATGGAAGCGCGCACACAAGATCAAAAAAGAAAACCCTGCATGGAGCTGGATGTCCTGAGCCAGATCGTCCATGTCGTGTCGAAAAGCAAGCAAGCTACAGAAGCTGGCAAGCGTTGCAACGAATTGTTTTGCCCTGTCGCCCGGTTGTGAATTCATCATGCATTCTTTGCATCATGCTGCGCATGATACATTGTGTGCAAAACTATCCCCCTGTTGATCAACCAGGTTCACAATGTTTGGAAGTTGGCGTCATGTCCTCGGCAACCTTCGTCGTGGCCTCGTTCTTGTGCGCAATGTTTGCACAGCAGCTTTCCGCAACGCACAATTTGGTCCACCAGCTAGCAGTTGAGGCGCTGAGTGGGCAAACGTGTTTCATGCGTAGAACACGCCATTCAATTTTTTTGTCGCCTGTGTCGTGGCAGCATAACACAGGCAAGCTTACCACATTTCATTTTGCGATTGTTAATGCGAAAATCCGCGCTGGCCTCTAACATAACTGGCATGTGGTTGACTCCGGGGAAGTAGCAAATCAAAATTGGGCTGCCGCGACGCAGCCAATTTGTATCCAACAACAAGCTGTGCGGCTTTGCTGAATGAAAAACATCATATGCTCTGGGATTCCTCCACGTTCAGCCTCATGTCAATGCTTTGCATCAAGCGACGACGAGAAGCCAATAATTGCTGGATGAAAGCCGCGTTGCACGTTTT